AAAATTGGGAAGGATGTACGCCAGGGATGTATCCTATTGCCATACTTTTTCAATCTATATGCAGAACAGATTATCTTGGAGGCTGGGCTCTATGAGGAGAAATGTGAGATCAGGATGGAAGACCATCAACATTCTGTGTAATGCAGATGACACAACCCTGCTTGGTGAAACTGAGGAGGACCTGAAGATCTTGCTGTAGAAGGCCAAGGACTGCAGCCTTCAATTGAAGCTTCAATTGGATTGAAGCTCAATATTAAGAAAAAAGATTCTCACCACTGGGCTGATTGGCAGCATCATGATGGATGGTGAAGAGATAAAGATTTTAAACAGTTTTCTTTTTCTTGGCTCCACTATCAACACTCTTGGCATCAGCAGCCAGGAAATTAAAAGACATATTGCATTGGGAAAGTCTGATATCAGAGACCTCTCCAAAGTACTGAAGAGCAATGATGTCAGTCTGGAGACTAAGGTGTGCCTGATCCAGGCTGTGGTCTTTGTAATAACTTGCTATGCCTCTGTATCTTAGCCTGTGATAAGTTTATCTTTCTAACAAGTAATTGCTATTGTTAGGTGCCATCAAGCTGAGTAGAATTCAAAGTAACCTTATGAAGAAGGGATCTGAACCCCTTTCTATCCTGTGCCGTTCTCATCATCTCTGACATAGTCAAGACCATTGCTGTAATCGCTATGTCAATCCATGTGGTTCAAGGTCTTCCTCTCTTTTGCTGACCTTTTCAATCATGATGTCCCTCACCAAGGACTCCTCCTAACAATATGCCCAACATATGTAACGTGAAATTATTTCATCATTGCCTCCAAGGGGCACTTGTGCTTCACTCTCTCTTAGTAATATCAAGCGAATCAGTTCCAACTCGACAGCATACAACAACTAGTAATGTGATGGCAGAAACCTTGAAAATTGGCTTTTTATCCATTGTGTTAGCTCACATTGGGGGAATGGTCTCCAGCTACCTTAACTGTGGACACATGGTCTTGAAAATCATCAACAGCTACCAACAGCTGTGGGACCAATATAAGAGAACACTTTCCACACTGTGAGAGATGGTGATGGAGAAAGGGTGAAAAAACTGTGGCACTGCTATAAAGTAACTGTGGCAAGATGTAACTGTAGGAGCCTTAGAGATGGAGCCACAGTTAAAGGTTTTGCTTGCTGGATGACTGAATGAAAAGCTGACTTGTAATTGCTCTAAGATAAAGTTTGCTGGATTGAGGAAACCAGACGTTTATTTGTGCTGCTGAACTCACCTAGACTTTCACTTGTTGACTGAGAAGCTGTCTTAACTAACTGAAGAATTGTGCCTTTGTTAATCTGGCTTGAGACTGCTGGACTAAACCTGGACTTGCATTGTGTGATATTCTTTGCCTCATCCCTCAACAAACTATTTCCTACAAATGTGCATAAAAATCTGCGAGTCAGTCTGCAATGGACATTGTATCCAGTGATTCACAGAAGTAGGTACAGGAGTATGTGGGGTGGCATGTTTGTCTATGAAGCTATTTGTTTAGTATGCTGGATATTATTAATGGGGACAGTTCTTTATGAAACAGAAGTCTTAAACAGTTAGGCTTGGCCTCTCGCACATTACTACTGCTCCTTATACAGGTAGATAGCTCTACATTCTACTAAAGGATTGGTATAAGGTTATGTGCCGGGTAAATCCACAATCAATAATTCTTGAAGAAAGGCCAGTTTCTCATTCTATTCAAGGATGAAGCGTGACAAACTACACAGGAGGTGCTCATGTTTTCAAAATAAAATGTACATGCTTTTGGTTGCTTCTCTCAGAGTTATTTGACTGGTGTACACAGATGATTCTAATGGGCCATGCTGAATTTAACAATTCCTTTGGACTGACATTCTACTAGTCCTATTTTCCCTCCTTAGGTCTGTATGAATGTAGTATCAGGCTTCACCTACTGCGTGTCCTTAGGCACTGTCTCTATTTGCCAAGGCTTTCAATGGGGCCTTCCTTTGTCATTGTTTTCACCTGTGATACCAAGGAGTCCACCAACTGGCCTGATGTTGAGCCTAAGAAGTTTGCGGGAGGTGTTTGATGTGACACAGTACAAGTGGGACAGGAGCTGCTGATCTTCCAGGACTGAGGTGGGCCCTGATCTCTCTTCTCACAAGAAAGATGTGGATTTTGTTTGTCCTTTGCTTTGTGTGAAAAACCTCTGTAAGTTGGAAACCCAACCTGCACAACTATAAAACACAGATATGGGGGGGAAAAAAACACCGCACAGATATGATGACAATTCTTGCAAATCTTGAAAGGTTCTATAAGACTTAATAACTTATTTCATATATTAAGGACCAGCCTAAATAGATAGCCTGAAGGAGTAATATCAACACAATGAATTCTCATCAACCTGCCGTAACCATCAATCATCAATGTAGGCCACCTGGTGCTGGGATGGTTGATCTGTATTTGGAGCTCAAACATATGAGGCAGTGGTTTTACTTACCTTCTGGGGGTGGAGTTGGGGCTGGCACTTCATTTTCTAAAATTAAAAAGGAAAATGAAATTGTTAGGCTTACTCATTACAGAGAAAATCTATTTTCCACAACCCCAAGTAGCTCACAACTCTAGGCCACCTTGCCCACATGACTATGGCCAAGATGGACTAGAACATGAAAAGAATCAACCGTATGGCATCAAAAGACCCAAGACACACTGCTTTCTCAGGCACGAGGAGAGACATTCTAGAAGATGACATCATGTAATGATGGAAAAGGCACAGGTGAAATGCTCCAGGTCTCTCCTTGCCAGCAGCAGCAGGACGTTTATTGATGTTCAATCTTTTTCCTCCTTCAGGAAAATTACCAAGTGTCATCTCCATTTAGAGACGAGGGTGTGCCTGAAGGTCAGAGAACTGGACAATGACTAAGGAGGACAGAAGAAGAATCAATGCCTTTGAGTTGTGGTGCTAAAGAAGAATACTGAACATATCTGGATGCCAGGAGAACAAACGGGTCTGTCCTGGAAAGGGTGAAACCAAGTTGCACTTTGGAGGCAAGGATTTTGAAACTCTGTCTCACAGACTTTGGGCATGTGGCCAAGGAGGGACTAGTCCTTTCTTGAAAGACATCATGCTTGGAAGGGTGGAAGGACAGCACAGGAGTGGAAGACTGGGATGAGATGGATTGACTCGGTAACTGGAGAAATGGGTGTAGCTGTGTTGAAGTCGTTGAGACAAGCTGAGGATAGGGTAGGCTTCAGAGCTACTGTGCTTAGGGTCACTATGAATTGCAGGCAGTGTGATGGCACACAACACCAACAACATCTACCTATATTTATAGGGCTGCTGTGAAAAGAAAATGAGACACTGTTGTATAATACACATTCTGTAGAGTCTAGGGTGGGATCAGTGTTCAGTAAATTACGCTTCCTACAGCAGAAAGCAAGGCTCTTCAGTGTCTCCACATTGCCCTGCCTCGTGAGAGACGCTTTCTCTGACATTGGATTCAGCATCTTCTGGCCTTGTGATGCTTTCCTTTATGATAAGGCAAACTGTTGTTCACTATAAAACCGAACCAAACCTCTCTCACAGTCCTAAAGTGCATATTCCCGGAATAGCTTTCCACCTACACTTATCAAGGCTCTGCAGTGTCTCCCCATAGAACTTTCAAATCTAATGGTGTGTACCTACCTGAGTTTGGAGATGCATTATTGTGTAACTGAGCAACTATCAAGTCTGTTAAAGAAAATATACACTTCTCCACATACCTAAAAGAACAAGCAATTCTCCTATACAATATCCTATGGAATCCCAAGGAATTCTGGACAGGAATCTGTGACATGTGTGTACCAGCTGGGCTTCCTAGATGGTACAGTTAATGTCCTCAGCGAGTAACTGAAAGGATGCCAGTAGAATGTCCTCTAGAAGCACCTCAGAAGAAAGGCCTAATGATCAACTTTAAAAAAAAAAAATCAACCATTGAAAATTCTATTTAAGAAAGAAAAGAGAACTCTATGGAGCTTGGCTCTGTATATGAGATTACTGTAAGTCAGAATCTACCTTCTAGTGACTGCTGGAGTACCACTGTTTCTACGGTAGGGCATGAAAGTGATCTCTTTTAGGAGTATTTTCCATTTAATTATTAAACAAAATATTGAAGACAAACAAATGCTTCTGTTACCAGCAGACTGTGTAGATCTTATCCTTGTTACTATCTAGGATTTCCCACAAGTGACAGCTTCCATGTGGGAAAGACAATGTCTCAGAGTGGATAACCTGGCTGATGAGTCATCAGGATGTTTAGGTGTATTTTAATCCAATTAGGGTGATCCCTGGTCTTACTTGAAAATACAGAAAAAAAGGAATGGATTACACCATACACATATCCATATCTGTTTCCATCATTTTTTAATACCAGATATAAATTAAAAATTATTCTTTTAAAGGGCACAAAATATTTCATAAATGAGGAAGAAAATAATCGCCTCACAAAATGAGCTGAAGGGAACCTGGTAGAGTTTGCTGGGATTCAAAAATAACAGTGAAAGCACAGCTCTTCCTTACATGGCATCGACAGAAGCACTCTGTGTCTTCACGTCATGGAGACAATCATTGGTGCTGGCATCCATCAGAAGACAAAACGCTCTCAGTCAAACCATTTTATTTTCAGAAGTCTGAGTGTAGTAATAGAAATCTCACACTGACCTTTTGGCTTTGAGTGAGGTATTACAACACATGGATATCAGAATACCAAGAGCAAGGAGGCTACTTCTTTGACATGCTGCATTTGGACTGGGGCATTGTTAAACACTGCCCAAGTATCTGTGACTAACAGTATCTGGCTTGTTCTATAGGCAAGTGCCTCTGTTTGCTGGTCTTACTTTCCAGAGCTTCAGGGATTATTCCTACAACTAGTTCACCCAACATTCCATCTGAGATGGTCTGAGTTAACTTATTTAGTTAGGTCAAGACCCTCGATAAGATGGATTGACACAATGACTGTAACAAGGGGCTCAAGCATATCAGAGGTCATGAGGCTGGTCTAGGATAGGGTCAGGTTCAGATCTGCTGTTCCCAGGGTTGCTGTGACTTGTAGTTGACCCAACAGCACCTAACAACAACAACAATAACAACCACCACCACCACCAACACCACATTTCAGGTTGGAGTACCTGAGTGCAAAGTGTTAATGCACCTGGCTGCTCACCAAAAAGGCTGGAGGCTGCAAACGTATCCTACATGCACCTTGGAAGAAGCTACTTCTGAAAAGTCAGTCACTGAACACATTACGGAGCACACACAGAGTTCTTTCTACTCTGACACGTTTGGGGATTCCATGAGCCAGAAGCAACTGTTCTTCAGGTTAGCATTCAATGTACGGGTGATGGGCGTTTTCTTCCTCCCCTTATTATAACCCAACGCACCTTCCGTATATCTGTTCATCTGACTTTTCTGCTACCGACAGAGCAGTGTTCTCTAGTTATAACCGCTTTGTGGTGTCAAGGGTTTATTGTTTAAAATGGCTTTTTTAAGCAATTAACTTTGACTTTGCCACATGTATGGGCAGGATCATGGTCTACCTACAAGGAGATTGACCAAGTCTCACCACTAGGTTTAAACGGAATGGTTTAGGCAATATAAACTGGGACTCTCAATGCCAACAAGGAAAAGGAAGCAGCACTTATTCTTTGAGGCCAGAGATTCCTGCACCCGCCACATCAAAACCTTCACAAGAGCAACAGCAGCCTCGGCAGATAACCAGAGACCAACACAAGACAGAGCTGAGCTGAGACTACCACCCACAGAGCCAGAAGCCTTCATTTAAGCTTGCTGGAGGACTGAGGGAAGACATCACAACTGGAGGACTAAGGGAATTCTGTAACACTGACCTAAGCTGAAGGTCAAAGGACTTGTGACCAAGCTTGAGAGTCTTTCTGGATTGAGAGAATGTATTCTGCTGCCAACCGGAATGACAGCTTTTTAACTTCCTTAAGGAACCCTATAAGTATGAGCATGGACCTGTAAAGCCTGCGTACTCATTGCAACAGATTTCAGACCCAGAAAAGCAGTAAGACTGCTTTTGGAATTAATACAAGGAAAAGCAGGAGTGTGGGGGACATGTCTGACATTACAGGAATTAGTTTTGTACTGTGGAGGTTGTTAGTGGAAGTCCAACTTGGCCTTTTCCATGTTGCCTAAACTCTTTTTATACTCTTCCTTTTTGTCAACATGAACAAGTCAGCCATACAAGTGAGTCAGGCTTGAATCCTGACTCTATAACTTATTAGTTATATAATCTTGGGAGGTTCCTTAATACCTACAGCTTTAATAACTTTATCTGTGAAATAGAAATGTTATTGTTATTAGAGTGGCCTAGTGTCAAGAAGCTGAGTTGCAATCGCAAAGGTGCGCAGTTAGAATCGCCCAGCTGCTCCGTAGGAGGATGTACAATCTCCTCCTGTGCGATTAACTGCTGCTGAAAACCCGCTGGAGGGTCAGATAGAGATCGAATCTGACTTGGTCAGATCTGAAGATACACAACAACAGACTTCTAGTGGACTTTCATAGGGATCCTCTGTACAGCAGAACTAAACCCTAATTGATCCTTTGTCATTCTCACAATTTCTGCTGTGCTTAAACCCACACTTGCAGTCACTATGTGAAGCTATTGTACTTAGGGTCTATTAAAACAGATGAGAGAGAAAACAGTTTAAAATCAATATATGATTGGGTATTATGGTTATGACAAGAGTCCAGAATGAAGGTTGCATAGTGGAGTGTACCTGGGGTGGGGGTGGGGGAATGGTATACCAATGAAGGAATTTTTCTTTTACTTTTCAAGGAGAGGAGCGAACTCGGCGGTG